GTAACGCAAGGTATTGCAAGGTGTAGAGGATGTATAGGAAAAGAATCATTCTTAAAGAGTGTGGTAACGTAAGAATCGTATAATATATTTTAAGAGCGAGTACAATTATGGTATTTAAACGAGATTCTTATATGTAATGACGCTATACGCTATTAAAAGATGCGAGTAATACAACAAAAGTCAGAATAATACTGGAATTAAATCAAGAATAATGAATTTAACGATATGTGGTCGCTCGGATCCTACCGGTCAAGTGTTCGAGTATAATTAGGGAATAGACTCACGGTCGCTTATAGTAGAGATCCGTTAATTGTGGTTGAACTCGCCTGGGCACGCTCGTATCGTTACTACTGTTCCGCACGCAGGTCGGTCGTGGAGAATCTCGAAGCTCATTGACTTCGATAAATTGTAATGTGTAGAAATGTTCCCCGAACAAAGGCTAGCGAATGCTTCACGCAGCTGCGTGAACGAAGACTTGGTATGCTGAATTTTACCCGAACAAAATGCAAGGAGCGCTCCGGGAGCACGCCTTTTATAGGGCTCCGACGGGAGCTTCGTACGTTCCCGACGCTTTCCGACGGCGGTCGGCTCGCAGCGCCGAATTCCACGGCGACTCGGTGGTCCCGGTTCGGTTAGGTTGAAAGGAATGCCTCTACGCTGGGTGGCTGGATGACGCCATGTGCGATGGCGTGATGCATAGTATCGAGATGATGTCATGCTGAGTGCGCTCTGTCGTGCCTAAGCGGGTTCGCTTCGCGGATATTCTTATATTATTCGGCTCACCTACTAATTCCTTCGTCATGTATGATTTTCACTAACTACTTCCTTTACGTGCATTGTCAATATATTGAGTTTTATTCTTGGCCGTCTCTGACGATTGAATGAGTAGGTTTTACCGCTGGAATTAAATACCTTATATATTACCTCTCAGGTTAGCGCAAATCGGCCTCGGGTTAGAGTGATATTTTGATATTATAATGGCGTGAAAATTTAAAGATTTTAGGGGCTGGGACGTTACAGTACCTTCGACATTATATTAATTACGACCAAACAGACTGGGACGAATGATCCCATACGCAATTTTTACGTATAACACAACTCCTCACATTACAACTAATTATACACTGTTTGAGCTAATACGGACACCAGACAACCTCACCATCAGCTATACTAGTACCATCAAAAACTATAGTATTGAGAATTATGCACAAGAAGTAAAAAAATTTCGAGCAACCAACCATATAGCTCGAGAGCATGTAAAAAAGGAAAAAATAAAATGTAAAATTTATTACGTTAAAAATACGAAAATACTCTGCTCGAAATAGGCGATCAAGTATTATGACATGACGAGACAGTACGACGAGGAAGATCGAAGAAACTACACTCCATGTGGATAGGACCCTACGAAGTAATAGAAAAACACTAACGAAAATTACACAATAAAACGTGGCCGACGAACACTTCGGGTATACGCGAACCGGCTAAAACTATATCTAGAGAACTAAAATTGAAAAACGGTAAACTCACCTAAAAATGTGGCGTACCCCTGCCACGGCCACGTAACATTCGGTTCCGAAGGACGAGAAGCCCCCATCCGGGGCAAGGGCCGCAAGTCTAGCCCAACAACACCCCCATCTCTATGACCGATCGGAGGACGACGCGCCTCCGCTTGATACAAAATTGCTGGCACGTCGGGGGACTGTAAATGTTCCATGGGGAAAAAGAACCCCGAACAAGCCGTATAGTCCCACTGGATAAATAAATAAAAAAACATAAAAAACACCACATCAAATACCACATAAACAAAAGTTACATAAACTTAAACAACGCTACCGCAGAACAAACAGGGCAGGAAACCCGCCTTCGTCCGGCTCCCCGGCCCAAACGGCGGAGACATGGACGAGTGTCCTGGGCCGCAAGGCCAAGAGGACGGCGGCCAAGGAGGAGGCGGCAAAGAAGGCCCCCCAGGCTCCCTCCCAAATCCAGAAGGGCAAGGGAGGGGCCTTGAAGGGGGCAGGTAAGGGGGGGGCCAAAGTCCCGGTCGAGGGTGAATCTCCCTCGCACCTCTCCGGCGTCGGCGATCACGCTGACCATTCCGGAGGGGTGTGAATGGACCCTCGATCGGGCCATGACAAAAGTCAAGGCCGAGATAGATATCTCGGCCTTGGGCATCAAGGGCTTAAGGCCCAAGTACGCTGCCACCGGGGCCCTCCTGGTGGAGGTCCCTGGGGAGGGGGGTGCAGACAGGGCGGACAAATTGGCCGCCCTGATGCGCACTTGCCTCGAGGGCACGGGCGCCAAAGTGGCCAGGCCCACGAAACGCGTGGAGATGCGCGTGTCGGGCCTGGCCGATGGCACAAGGAGCGGCGAGGTCATCGCCGCTCTTGTGGGAACGGGAGGATGCCCCGAAGGGGATCTGCGCGTCGGGGAGATCCGACGTGCCCCCTCGGGACTTGGGACCGTCTGGTGCCAAGTCCCACTTGCGGCGGCCAGAAGACTGGCCGCTGCCTCGGAGGGGCGCAAGCTATGCATCGGGTGGATGCTGGTCAGGGCGGAAGTCCTCAGCACCCGCCCGATGCAGTGCTACCGCTGCCTGGAGATCGGGCATCCCAGGCAGCGGTGCACAAGCGCGGTGGACCGCAGCGATAAGTGTTATCGCTGCGGGGAATGTGGCCACCGCGCGGCAACGTGCTCGGCCTCCCCTAAGTGTCCGTTGTGCACGGACCTGGGGAGGCCGAGCAACCACCGGCTGGGTGCACCCTCGTGTGCCCCAGCAAAAAAGGGGGTTAAAAGGGGGGGAGCTGGGGGAAGAGCCCAGGGGGAAAAGAAAGGGGCTGAGGGGAAAGCCTCGGCTGGGACAGAGCCTAAGTCCCAGCCGAGTTAGAAGCCCGAGCAGCAGGGCGGGAAGAGGAAGGCCACGGAAGTGGCTTCCTCTTCGACAAAGAGGAAGGCGGGGGCCGGGGGAGGCCCATCAGATAAGGCCTAGTGATGGCTGGTGTTCCCGCCACCACTGGGCTAAAGGTGATCCAGGTCAACCTCAACCACTGTGCGAGTGCGCAAGACCTTATGGTCGCCAATCTCGCGCAGTGGGGGGTTGACCTGGCGATAGTCGCGGAGCCTTATTACTTGCCGCATGACGCGGTCAGCAGCAAGTGCGGCTCCGCGGCTATCATATGGAGGAGGGAGACCCCTGGCCTCCGGTTTGAGAGCCTGGCCGCTGGAGTCGGCTGGGCGGCGGCGAACTGGGGAGA